ATTTCAGCCCTGAGCTTAACAACCCAGCAAAACTTAGACTAGAATTATGAGTAAGTCCAGCCAGGCTAATTTATCTCAGCCCAGCTTATAGCCAAGACTAGCTCAGCTCAACCCAATCCAGCCCAGCCCAGCTCAGCTCAACCCAACCTAACCCAGCTCAGCTCAACCCAACCTAACCCAGCTCAGCTCAACCCAACCTAACCCAGCTCAGCTCAACCCAACCTAACCCAGCTCAGCTCAACCCAATCCAGCCCAGCCCAGCTCAGTGCAGCTCAACCCAATCCAGCCCAGCCCAGCTCAGCTCAACCCAACCCAGCCCAGCTCAGCTCAGTGCAGCTCAACCCAACCCAGTCCAGCTCAGCCGGTTTAACTTATATTAGCTCATCTTAACCAGCCAAGTGGAGTTTAGCCTGATCCCACCTGTCCATTCTGTCCAGCACAGCTAGATCTAAACCAGCTCAACCCAGCAAAGCCAACCGAACCCAAATAAACCCAGTTTAGTCAGCTCAACCCAACAAGACCAACTCAGCCCAGCTTAGCTCAGCCTATCCCATCCCATGTTATCCTAACTCAGCTCAGTTTAGTCTAGCCCAACAAAATCATTCAATTCATCAGAACCTAGCTCAGCCCAGCCCAGCTCAGCCAGGCCCAGTTCAGCCCAGCCCAGCCCAGCCCAGCCCAGCTCAGCCCAGCCCAGCCCAGCCCAGCTCAGCCAGGCCCAGTTCAGCCCAGCCCAGCTCAGCCAGGCCCAGTTCAACCCACTCCAACCCAGCTGAGCCCAGCCAAGCTCAGGCAGGCCCAGTTTAGCCCAGTCCAGCCCAACTTAGGCCAGCCCAGCTCAGCCAGGCCCAGTTCAGCCCAGTCCAGCCCACCTCAGTCCAGCCCAGCCCAGCCCAGCCCAGCCCAGCCCAGCCCAGCCCAGTCCAGCCCAGCTCAGCCCAGCCCAGCTTAGCCCAGCTCAGCTCATCCCAGCCAGGTCCAGCCTAGCTCATCCCAGCTCATCCCAGCTCAGCTCAGCCCAACCCAGCCCAACCCAGCTCATCCCAGCTCATCCCAGCCAGGCCCAGCCCAGCCCAGCTCACTCCAGCCCAGCTCAGCTCAGCCCAGCTCAACCCAGTTCAGCCCAGCCCAGCTCAACCCAGTTCAGCCCAGCCCAGCCCAGCCCAGCCCAGCTCAGCCCAGCCCAGCCCAGCCCAGCTCAGCCAGGCCCAGCCCAGCTCAGCCCAGCCCAGCCCAGCCCAGGCCAGCCCAGCTCAGCCCAGCTCAGCTCAGCCCAGCTCAGCCAGGCCCAGCCCAGCTCAGCCCAGCCCAGCCCAGCCCAGCCCAGCCCAGCCCAGGCCAGCCCAGCTCAGCTCAGCTCAGCTCAGCCCAGCTCAGCCCAGCCCAGCTCAGCTCAGCTCAGCTCAGCTCAGCTCAGCCCAGCTCAGCCCAGCTCAGCAAGTCCATCCAGGCCTAATTCATTTCAACTCAGCCCATCTTAGGCCAGCTCAGACAGCACACCTAACCTAGATCAATGCAACCCTGTCTAGGTCGGCCCAGCCTAGGTAAGATAGGCCTTGTTCAGCCCAGCCCAGCTAGACAAGTTTAGCTACACCTAGCCTAGCCTGACCAGCTGGCCTAGCCTAGCTCAGCCAGCCCATTCCAGTGTAGCTCATTCAGCTCAGCCCAACCGACTTTAGCCTAGTCAGCTCAATCCATTCCATCCTAGCCAAGTTTATCCCATTCCAGCTCAGCCTACCCTAGTCTAGCTCAGCTAGCCCCTTCCAGCCTACCTCATCCAGTCCAGCCTGGCTCAGCCCAGCATAGCCCAGGCAGACCAGTTCAGCCCAGTCTAGCTTCGTCCAGCTCTGCTCAGCACATTTCAATCTAGCTTGCCCCAGCTCAGCTCAGCTCATCCCAGCTCAGCTCAGCCTAGGCCAGGCCATCCTATCCCAGCCTAGCCCAGCTGAGATCAGCCTAGCTCAGTCATCCTGGATCAGCCACCGCAGCCCAGCCCAGCCCAGTCCAGCCTAGTTTGGCTAGTCCCGTCTAGTTGACTCCAGTTTAGCACAATTCATGCCAGCCCAGTCTAGCTCAGCTCAGTCCATTCCAGCCTATCCCAGATCATCCCAGTTCATTACAGCTTAGCTCAGCCTCGTCCAGCTCAGACAGCCTATCTCAGACTAGCCCAGTCACCCAGCCCATTCCAGCCTAGCTCACCCCATCCCACCCCATCCCACCCTATCCCACCCCACCCCATTCCATTCGGCTTAGCGTAGCCTCAGCTCATCTTAACTCATCTCACCCTAGCCTAGCTCAGCCTATTTTAACTAATCCCTCTCCAGCCCAGCTTAGCCCAGTCCATTTCAGCAAGCCCATCCCAGCCTAGGCCAGTTCCAGTCAATTCAGTTCAGCTTAGACCAGTTCAACCAGCCCAGTCTAACCGAGCTCAACTCAACTCAGCCTAGCCCAGCCCAGCCTAGCCCGGCTCAACCCAGTTCAGACCATTCCAAGCCTAGCTCAGTTCATTCTAGACTAGTTTAGGCAGCCCAACTAAGACTGCCGTTTCCCATCTCAGCCCAGAAGACCCCATCTCAGATTTGCTCAGCCTAGCCCAGTCTAATTTAGGCCAGGCCAACATAGTCCATCCCACCCTAGTCTAATCCAGACCAGCTCATCTTAGCCAATTCCAGTGCAGCTCACACCAGCCAAGCTCCTCCTGGCGTAGCCCAGCTCAACCCAGCCTAGCCAAATCCAGTTTAGTGTACTCAACTCAACTTAGCCCAGACCCGCCCAGCCCAGCCTAGCTCAGTCTAGCTTAGTGCATCTCAACCCAGGTTAGCTCAGCTCAGCCCAGTTCAGCCTGGTCTCGTCCATTTTAGCTTAGCCTAGCTCTGCCCAGCCCAGCCCAGCTCAGTCCAGTTCAGTTCAGACCAGAGTAGTTCAGCTCATCCTATTCCAGATTCGCCCAGTCACCCAAGTCAGCCCACTTTGCCCCATCTTAATCAGCATAGCCCAGCTTAGCTTAGCCTGGCTCAGCCCACCTCAGCCCAGCTTGGACCAGCCCGATTCAGACTAGCCCAGCTCAGTTTAGCCCATTATAGACTAGCTCGGTCAGCCCAACTTGGCCTACCTTGTTCCAGCTCAGCCTGGATCAGTCTAACTCAGCTCCGCTAAGCTGAGCCCAGCTCAGCCTGGCCACAGGCACTTGAGTCACCCCCACCCCCTGCTGTTGTCTCCTAACCCTCGCCTCGGTCCAGCCTGTAAGTCTCTCGCTGCTGCTTTCTAGGAAGCTGGGTTTCGTCAAGTTTTCTCTGGTCTGCATCTCAGCCCATGGCACATCCTTGCGCCTGTGTTCACGCCCTGTATCCCCTGGCTTGCTTTTCGAATCTCCTTCTCCTTCCTGCTAATACGTCTCTACCCTGTGTTCTCAGGCCTGGTCTGGTTGAGACTCCTCAGTGCACCAATGAGCAAAGGAGTCCAGACCATCCTGGGACCCACCTGCTCAAGGTCGTTGAGTGTCCTCCATGGGGGAACAGCCAGGCCTCCCTTGGCCAGGTGGTCCCACACTGAAGGTCCATCCTCATGGCTGTAGGCCACCTGCCCTATGGGAGAGAGGTTGGGACTGGGCAAGGCCTTGGCTGGAAGCTGTGTCCTCAGCATCTCCGCTCTTCTCTCTGTGTGGTTGCCTGTGGATGGGCCAGGCCTGGAGCTGAGGGGGCTGCATGACTGTGTGTCTGGCCCCTAGATGGGGTCCCTCACCCACTTCCTGTTCCACCTCCACATTGTGGCCTCTTGCCTCCGAGTCATGTCTGGCCTGTGGTCTGGCTGTGGTGGAGACAGGTGTGTCTGACCACACGGGCCTTGGTGGGGCCAGGACTCCACATGCCTGGCCATAGGGGTAGGTTGGGGCCTGAGATGCGGGAAAGGGAATGAAACAAACATCTAGTTGCTCAGAGATACTGAGACAGAGATGGAGAGGGAGAGAGGACAATTAGGGATAGAGGGGAGGCCCAAGAGCATGTTGTCAGGGAGCCAGAGGAGCAAGGCTACTCCAGAGGGATCCCTAAGCCAATGAGGCTTCTGAGAAGACCTTTGATGTCACAGGGTTGACATGATGTGGGGAAGTGTCTGGAATGGCTCATCATGAGCTGCGGCTGCCTCCATGGCTAGTTCCTTGAGAAAGTAGATGCTCCAGGCTGAGGGTCAACATGGAGGCCTTCAGGTCACAGTTCCATTTGTATCCCTTGCAACCCTGAGTCAACTTCCTATCACATCTCTCCCAGGATGGGCCTTTGCCCTTCAGGGCCCCTCAGAGATTGGCAGGGTAGGGTCTCACCCTTCACTTAGCCCTCTACACATTCTATTGTCCCCTCCCCACAATGTCTCCCTTTGTAAGCTGCCTCTGTGTTGTGCCTTATTTACATCATAACAGGACTCTGGAGCCTCACACAAGCACCAGACAGTCTTTGCTCAGGAACGGCCCTGTCTGGAGGGGAAAGGTTGTAAATGAGCAGGCATGATGGGGTCATGTCAGCGGCGCTGGGTGCTGAGTTGGGGAAGTTAGCTTTTCTGGGGTCTCGGATAGATACTTCACAGAGGAGGGGCTTGGAAAGTGTGGAGCAAATTGATGTACCCTTGACTGTGAGGCGGCCAGTCAAGGGAGTTTGACAGATGGACAGGGGAGGAAGCTTGGTCCTGAGTTCCAGAGATCTGGGAGGACACACAGGCCCGTACAAAGAGGCTCGGGAGGTTCTGTCATCAGTCTCAGCATGCCTTGGAGCCATCAGCAACGGGGGACATTGTGGCTGCCTGGCTTAGTCATTTCTGTTGCTGTTACAGAACACCATGGGCAAAGTGGCTTAGTCAGTAAAGGTTCGACTCTTGGTTCAAAGCTGGAAGCAGTGGGCTGGTATGGTCAGTCTGGTAACAGCTGCTTCCCAGTCTACAGAGGGTCATTTAAGGTCATGTGTCCTACCATGAGGCTCTCTCATGACCCAGTTACCTCCTTTTGGTCTTAGGATTTGCCAGCCCAAGTCACAAGACATTCTCCAGGGACATTATGCCAACATGGAGTTGCTCAAGGCCAACAGTGTGTCATCAAGGCCAAGAAGCATGGACATGGGGACAGGGAATTCAGGCTGCAGCTGTCCATCCATGGCTATGAGGTGGGTCCAGCAGCTGAGCTGATGTCCCACAGAGATGTTTTCTGTGCGGGGTTAGAGTGGCTGTATGTATGGACTGTGGTGACGGCTCTTGACAAGTCATCCCTTGTGAGCCTCCCACATGGTCCTGGTCAGTGTTGGACACAGTGCTTCTGTTTGGGCTGCCATCTTTCAGTTTTCACATTTTGATTTTGGAGGACACAGGCCCTGCTTCCATCATTTAGGACTCTTGTCACTGGGTTAAAGTCCACAAGGCTAATCCTTGATGACCTCATCTTGAGATAGTTACCTTGGTCACATTGTGTCTTTTGGGGACTCCCACAAGCCCTCTATGGTGGACTGATAAGGGAGTAGAGAGAAGAAAGTGGCCTCTTGGTCCTAGGAGGTCATTCATGGTATGAGAGGCCAGGGTCACTGGCCTGGCTATCTGGGCTGAGTCCAGCTCCCTGTGAACTCTCTTTCATTCCAGGTGGGATTTGCTCCTATGTGATAATTCCTATCACCACATTGTACTCCTTGAGAAGAGCCCTTGCTGCCTGTGTCCAGTGTCTGTGGGGATCTCATGGCTTGGAGGGACGGTCATTGGAAGACACTGAGCTGTGACTTTCAGGAATGTTGGTCTAGGAGCTGGCTGGGGAAGAGGAGCACCTAGGCCTCAGCCTAGAAGTGGGTAGGGCTAGGAGACTGGCAGAGGAGGGTGTGGGTCAGATCTTGTCTTCCCAAGACAGTGTGTGTCTGCATGTGAGACTGAGCCTGTTTTAGAGTGGTGTGTGTGTGTGTGTGTGTGTGTGTGTGTGTGTGTGTGTGTGTGTGTGTGTGTGCCTGGCACCTGACTCTGGATGTATCTGAGGGGGTCTGTGCAATCTGTGTGACTGTGTGTCTGACATACACTTGAATGTGAGTGGTGGTGTGCTCCTCAGCGTGAATGCACAATGTTATTGTGTGCTGGCCGGGGCTGGGGCTTGGGACGAGTCCTGAGCAGTGCCTCTTTCCAGTCAGGCCAGTCACCCTCCCAGTCCTGGGTCTCCTGCACTCAGTAGGGGTGGCTTTCTGTGCCTTTGCCACCCATGCCTTCCCTGGGTGCCCTGAGGCTTGTAGAAGCCTGGCTGTACAGCAGAGAAGAGGGCTCAGATACCTGGGGGCTGTGGTCTTGTCCTGGCAGACTTATCTCCATCTTAGTTTTCCTAAAGTCCCATGGTGCTGATCCGGGAACCCCAATGTGGATCTCCTTGTGAGACCATCACTGCTTATGATGACAAGGGCGTTTGGCCAACTGACCCTCAAAATGGTCTTAATAGTTCTCATGCCTTTATCCAGGGCCCAGTAGGGCCACACCCACCCTAGGCATCCTTCTTACTAGAAATGTTCTCATCATTTAAACGTTTTCTGAAAGTCATTGACTACTGATTTTTTCCTTCCTATGAAAACTTCTTTTTTCTTATTGATTCCAGAGCCATCATTGCATATGAGAGAACCCTGTCTTATGTAACGTGAATTCATGTCCCAGGGATGATAACACTAGGTTTGGATGACTCTTGCACACTTGTGTGTCCTCACTCAGTCTGTCCAGGGTCAGGGACTGGCCTGTCTGCCTGCACTTAGTCGGTGGACAGATTGTGGTCCTGGAGAGTGACCTGCACCAGGTTCCTGGGGGCCCAGCTCTGATTCCACCATTAGCCCCTCAGGCTTTGCCCTTCACTTCAGCTTAAGAAGTGGGAAGTGAGTCTGGGCTGGAGGCCAGCAGGAATGGTGGACTGGATGGAGGCTGGTCCAGAAACCCTGGGTTTTGAAGAGGATCCCACAGAGGTGGCTACTTTTCACCCTCTGGTCCTTGTCCATGTCCTTGGTACCCATTGCCCCCGTGGTTGCCTCAAACACCTTCTCAGTGTGCTCTCAGGAGTTTTGGGAAAGAACTTTACTAAGAAACCCAGAGACAAAGCAGAACTGCTGGCTGAGGCTTGGAGTTGCTGAGGCCTCGGGGCTAGGCTCTGCTGCTGCCCTGTGGGAGGGAGGCTCCTTTTCTCACAGTAGGACTCTGCCTAGCCCAGAGGTCTGAAGTAGCCCTTTTCAGTTTTGTGTCCTCATCCTGAATGCCTGTCTGTCTCTTCATTCTTCAGGGACAGAGGGCTGTAGGGAAAGTCTGGGTTATGTCTGGAGACAGTGAGGCAGGATGGCTTCTGAGGAGCGAGGGCCTGGATTTGTTCTGGGTTGATTCTGAGTGCCCCAGCTTTGATTCTGGGCTCTAGGCGGGGGCCTAGTAGGGACTTCGTGGTTATTCAGTCAAAATGAAGTGACCCTGATGCCCATAGGTCTGGGGTGAGCCCAGGTGGTCAGCATCCACCCTAAAACTCAGATCAAATTGATGAGGAACAGATGTTGTTCCAAAGCTTGTCTCAAAGTATCTGTGTAGGACAGCCCACACTGGTGCCTTGATCTGGAACTTTCTGGATGCTGATATATCAGTTGTTGGTCCCCAAATCTGGTCCTTTTGGGTAGTTCTGCTCCCTCCTACAACCCAGGGCAGAGCAGGAGCCTCAGACACACATGGCTGCAGGCCTGCAAGGGAGCTGGCATTGTGCTTATGCCCTGGTCTGGAGGATGTTGGCATAGTCGTGGAGGGTCTGGGGTGTACTCTGCGACAGTGTGGAGAAGACCCACTTCACCTGGGGAAAAGGTGTGTGTGAGGATGGCTCTGCAGCTTGGCCTAGCCCTCCCTAGCCCCACCCACTGAGGTGCAGGACTCCACCTTCAGGAGGGTGACAGTGGCCCCATAGCTCACGCTGAGCAGGAACAGGGTGATGAAGACGTAGATACTGGTCCACAGTTCTTCCAGCTCCTCACTCTCGGCCTCTTCTGCACATAGGTCCTCGAGGTCTAGCTCTGGGGGGACCAGCCAGTCAGCTTCCCCAGACTCCAGGTGACAGTGGGGAGGGGTAGATTCCCCATTCCACCTGCTCTGGGACTGCCCAGAGTCTCTAGACGGCCCTGGAAGGCAGCTGCCCTCCTTTCTCCCCTGACCCTGATTACTCACTCCCTCTGCCTACTCCAGAGCCCACAGTGGCCTGATGCCCCCATCACCGGCATCGTTTTGCTTCTGGCCATAGGATGCCTCTATCCAGCCTGCAGAGAGTTCTTCAGAGAGTGCCCAGGGCCCTTCAGGAAGGGCTCTGAGCTCATAGGCCTGTTTGTAGGACCTCCACGCAGGCTCTGGCTCCAGGAATCTTGGCTATGGTCTCTGAGGGGCGGGCCAGGACACATGGGCTCTGAGCCCAGGCCTGTGGGACTCTAGGGAGGGCCTCCTGGCCTTGTAGGGGTTCTGCTCTTGCCTTAGCCTCCCTGTTGTCTGGTTTACTAGTCTGACCAGCTACCATACAGCTGTCCCACAGTTCAGGCCTCCACTTTCTTCTGTCTCTCATGGCCTGGCATGGGCTGAAGAATAAGGACTGGTCTGGAAGTAGACCTGACGTGCTGGCTTACTCTGCCATCAGTGGGCCTCAGAGGTATCTCAGACACAAAGGCTGGACACTTATCTCTGGATATGGCGGGTGTGTATGGGCTCCATTGTGTGCATGACTGTGTGTGTATGATGAGAGCCTCTGGTCTCAATGTGTATGAGCCATATGTGTTGGTGGTTGGGTCTGGGATGGGTGTGGGCATGTCCTGGTTCTGGCCTCTTTATCCTTCTGGGCCTGGGATGGATGTATAGCTTGCTTTGGGCTATTACTAAACCAGAGAGAATGATGAAGCCTACCTGTGGGGTGTGTGTGTGTGTGTGTGTGTGTGTGTGTGTGTGTGTGTGTGTGTATCTGCCTTAGGGTTATAGCAGATAGAGAACAGTGGTATGGGAGGTTGAGGCCACAGGAGGAGGTCATGTGGAAGATACTGGGCTCTCTTACAGGATGTAAACCCTATTTCTATCTTGGACTCACTGGCTAAAGTATATAAAAGGAAAGGACTGGGAATGGCCTGGGCAAGTAGAGAGCAGTGGGAAGCCCAGTGCAAGCCACATGTGAGCATGGGTGAGGCATGTTGCTATGTCAGGTGCCTGCAAGTGTGTGCTGTTTGGTGGTGCTGTGCTTTGGGGGGTCACAAGACTTGGTGACCTGAGTGTGTATGTGGTTAGGTGTGTGTGTGTGTGTGTGTGTGTGTGTGTGTGTGTGTGTGTGTGTGTGTGTGCGCTAACATGGCATAGATGAGTGCACCTGACTATGTGAGGCTGGCAGCCTATTCCAGCCCTTGAGATGAGGTTGGAGTGAGGCTGGACAGTAAGAGGAGGGGCACCAGGTCCTTAGCCAGACCTGCTATGACCATATGGTCAGGGCAGGTGGTCAGGACTATGGGTTCAGCCTCAATGACTGCTGGGTACAGAGGAGAAGGAGCAGGGCCATGAGGAGTCCTGCCTTCCAGGATGCTGACTTTGGCAATTTCTCTACCTGAAGGGGTTCTCATATCCAGGAATATCTGGGGAGCAGAAACTTGCAAGACTGAGGGGTGGGTCCTGAGGCCTCAGGCTGGCTCATTTTAGCCACTCCTCTAGACAGCTCCTCTCTGGCTGTTTGGATCCCATTCAGGTGCATGATGGACAGTGGGGGTCAGGAAGGACCAGGGGAGCGTAAGCTGCACCTCTGTGATGTCCTGTTTGTCCAGTACCCAACCCAGCCAGGTGGATGACCTGTGCTTTACTCTCGTCCCTCTTTTGCAGTGTCCCTTCCTCTATGCCAAGACACTTCGGCCACAACTTGCCCTCCCCAAGAACAGGCACCCAGGGCTCTAAGCAGGCACTGAGTGTTTATTGGGATGGCTTCCGTGTTACAACAGTGGGCAGAGGCCTGCCATCCACCTTCCCCACCACAGTTACATGGGCCCCGGGAAGGATGGAGGGAGGCATCATTTACCAGGGATCTTGGATATTGTTTTCTTCAGCGTCCTAGGTTCTGGCAGTGCCTCATGGATCACTTGGCAGGTGAATTTTTTATTCTGTGCCCAGTGTGCCTTCGTGACCTCTAGGCGGCTGAAGATGAAGAAGCCTTGACCAGGGCCGTTGGACTTCAGAGGTGCTGTGGTTCTGTGCTGTGTGTTTGGGATCAGCATCTCATCTTGCAGCCACTGCACTGAGATATCCTCAGGGAAGAAGTTCTGGATCAGGCAGGTGAGTGTGCGTTTGTCCTTGTTCTCCTCCTCTGGTGGTGGCGGGAACACATACACCTCCGGGGCTGAGCGTTGGCCTGTGGACAAACGTTAGTTAGCCAGGCCTTCGCCTCTGTGACCACTCCCTCTCCATCTCCTGTACTTACCCTGGGCCTTGGTGATGGCGCGCACAATGGGCCTGGGTAGCTGAGGGTGGTTCACGCTGCACCTGTAGCCTTCACCTTCAATCCAGTCCTTGGCATCCACTGGCAGGATGGAAGTGATACTGGTTGTTGCGTTGTGGTGCCTGGTAGAACTCTGGGATGCTAAGCCGGCAGGATTCCTATGCTCTTGGGTCCATGTCACAGTGACATTCTCCTTGCTTTCCAGGTCCACCACCAGACAGGTAAGCTTGGGAGCCTTTCCTATATACAGGTCCAGGGGGCTGGGTGGGATTAGGTAGGTATTCACACCACGTGGCTCATATTCTGTGGGGTAGAAAGGGCTCTGTGAGATCCTACCTTTCCCTCAGAACTCTGAGGTCTGGGCATCAGGTGAGGGAGGGCCTACCTTGGCACTTCTGGGTATGGATCTCATAGTCCTCGTCTTGGGAGGTGACCTTGCAGGAGAAGGTGCTCTCAGACATCCATTGCTCCATGGTGATGTTGAGTTCACTGTAGGTAGAGGCTAGCTTACCCTCCTTCTTGATTGGGATAACACTTGGTGACGCATTAGGCATCTGCTGTCCATCCTTTAGCCAGGTGATGGTGACATCATCTGGGGCATGGCCATAAACGAAGCAGTAGAGCTGTATGGTGGAGTGGAACGCTTTGGGGTTGCAGGATGAGTGGAGTAGCTTCAAGGTGGGCTGGGTGATATTGACAGGTGATGCTAGGGCAGAGGCAGTGAGATGTGAGTATCTCCCCAGCCTTGTGTTCCCTCAAGCCTCAGCCCAGACCCCCGAGTATGCTGGGTACACCCCTGTCCTTCCTGTTCTGACCATGCTCTCTCCTGCTGTACCTGTAGCCAGCCCAGCCCTGCTTACCTTTGATTGTCTTGTTGACATTGAATCCGGATGGGGCATGCGTCACCTGGCAAGTGAAAGTCTTGGCTGACTTGCTCTTGGTGGTCACTTGGCTGGTGGTGACCTTGAGTTCAGAGCCGAGGGCAGGGAAGTTCACGGTGCTCATGTTTGGGGAGTTTGAATGCCAGATAACATTCACCGGGTCAGGGAAGTAGTCCTTTATCAGGCAGCCCAGTGTCACGGGGGCAGTGTCTGCATTACAGGGCTTCAAGGGGTAGACAGAAGGTTCCTGGACAGAGGCTGTGAGACAGGATCTAGGTTAGACTGGCCTCACATTCCTGCACTCCTGCAGGTTGGGGGACTTGTTAGGGTGGATGTGACTGAAGTAGGGCTCTGGGGACAGATGGTCAGACTCCTGGGTCCTGTCTTCATTCTCTGAGCCCAAGCTCAGACCCAGGGAGCCCCCTGATTCTTTACACTTGCCAGGATTTCCTCACTCATTGTCCCCAGCTGGCTTAGCACAGGAGGGCTGGACTGGAGCTTTGGAGGAAGAGGCCAACTCTTGCTCCCTTTCTTGATTGAGAAATTATGTGGAAATTTAGCCAGGTGACAGTGACATCCTCTAGGATATGACCATACATGAAGCAGTAGATCTGGGTGGTGGACTGGAAGGCGTTAGGGTTGTAGGATGAATAGAGTAGCTTCAGTGTGGGCTGAGTGATATTGACAGCGGGACCCGGCTGTCCCTTAGGTTTAAGTCCAGGGAACAGGTACCCCACAGGGCTTGGGGACCCAGAGATCTAGTGAATTGCCAGATTATCCCTTCTGTCCCTACTCTTGGGGACTGGGGATTCAGAGCCTTCCCAGGACCACTGGTTCCTCTGTGAGTCACATTGAATCTGTCTTAGGGCATATGGAGGACAGGGCTGTGTGACTCTTGCTCCCTAGGGCTATGGGTTCCAGCCTCTCAGATACATGTGTGCTCTGCTTTGGTTTCCCCTTTACCATATCCCAACCTGTGTAGTGTTCTGCCTCCCAGAGGACCCCTGTTGATCCCAGACAGCACACAGATAGAGAACAAAACCACCACTTCAGAAGCCACTTTGGTGGCTGCCTAAATCGCTCTAGTGTGCACACACACCCATGATATTCTCCTGAGCCCGGGGCCCAGCTCAGCTCTGTGCCAGCCCCCCGAAAGCACAGGCTACTGTTAAGCCTGCTTGGCTCTACCTACCCAGTCTAGACTGACCGCAACAGGGCAGCCTTCTTGGAGGACACTTAAAACACCCATAAATGATTTCAAGCAGTCTATCTTAAGCCCAGTTCAGTTCAGGACCAGAAAGTTCAACCAGACCAACAGACTCATAACAGTTTGGCCCAGTCCAGAACAGCTTAGCTTAGCCAAGCTCAGCTCAGCCTAACCTGGCCAATCCCAGCTCAGCCTAACCGTTTAGTGCAGCCCAGGCCAGTCCATCCTAGCCTGTCCCAGCCCAGATCAATAAGCCCACGCAGCCCGGCAGAGCTCAGCACAGCCTAGCCCGGTTCAACTCAGCCCAGATCAGACTAGAATGGTATATTCTAGCTCATCCCAGATCATCCCAGCTCAGTCCAGTCCACTTCAGCCTAGCTCAGCACAGCTCAGCTAGGCCCAGGTAACTCAGCCCAGCCCAGCTTAGCTCATTCTGGCTCATCCAAGTTCAGCTCAGGCTAGCCCAGCTCAGCCATCTTATGGAAGTCTAGGCCCAGCTCACCTCAGCTAAGTTCGGCCTATACCAGTTCAGTCCAGTGTAGCCCAGCTCATCCTGGCCCAGCCCCACTCAGCCTAGGCCAACCCAGTCTACCTTAGGCTAGTCTACCCAGTCTGGCTCAACCCAGATCAGCCCCACTCAGCTAAGCTCAGCCCAGCCTGGCCCAGACTTTTTCGGCTGAGCTCAGCTTAGGCCATATCAGCACAGCTCAGCCTTGCTGAGGCCAGACCAGCCCACCTCAGACAAGACTAGTGTAGCTCAGCTCAGCTCAGCCTATCCAATCCAGCTCAGCCCGGCCCAGCTAAGCTCAGTCTAGTAATGCAATCCAGTTCAGCCCAGCATAGTTCAGCTCAGCCAGGTACAGCTAAGTTCAGTCTGGCCTAATCTAGTCCAGTCCAGCCCAGCCCAGTTTACCTTAGTTTATCCTAGCTAGGAATAGACCAGAGCAGTCCAGCTCAGACCAGTCCACCCAAGATAGCTCAGCTTAGTCCAACTAAACTGAGCCCAGTCCAGCCTAGCCCAGTCCAGCCCAGTCCAGTCCAGCCCAGCCCAGCCCAGCCCAGCCTAGCCCAGCCCAGCCCAGCCCAACCCAGCCCAGCCCAGCCCAGCCCAGTCCAGTCCAGCCCAGCCCAGCCCAGCCCAGCCCAGCCCAGCCCAACCCAGCCCAGCCCAGCCCAGCCCAGTCCAGTCCAGCCCAGTCCAGCCCAGCCTAGTCCAGCCCAGCCTAGCCCAGCCTAGTCCAGCCCAGCCCAGCCCAGCCTAGTCCAGTCCAGCCCAGTCAGCCCAGCCCAGCCCAGTCCAGCCCAATCCAGCCCAGCCCAGTCCAGCCCAGCCCAGTCCAGCCTAGTCCAGTCCAGCCCAGCCCAGTCCAGCCCAGCCCAGCCCAGTCCAGCCCAGCCAGCCCAGCCCAGCCCAGTCCAGCCCAATCCAGCCCAGCCCAGTCCAGCCCAGCCCAGTCCAGCCCAGCCCAGCCCAGCCTAGTCCAGTCCAGCCCAGCCCAGCCCAGTCTAGTCTAGTCCAGCCCAGTCCAGCCCAGCCCAGCCCAGTCCAGCCCAGCCCAGCCCAGTCCAGCCCAGCCCAGCCCAGTCCAGCCCAGCCCAGCCCAGCCTAGTCCAGCCCAGTCCAGCCCAGCCTAGTCCAGTCCAGCCCAGCCCAGCCCAGCCCAGCCCAGCCTAGTCCAGCCCAGTCCAGTCCAGCCCAGCCCAGCCCAGCCCAGCCTAGCCCAGCCCAGTCCAGTCCAGTCCAGCCCAGCCCAGCCCAGCCTAGTCCAGCCCAGTCCAGTCCAGCCCAGCCCAGCCCAGCCCAGCCTAGCCCAGTCCAGCCCAGTCCAGTCCAGCCCAGCCCAGCCCAGCCCAGCCTAGTCCAGTCCAGCCCAGTCCAGTCCAGCCCAGCCTAGCCCAGCCCAGCCCAGCCTAGTCCAGTCCAGCCCAGTCCAGTCCAGTCCAGCCTAGCCCAGCCCAGCCTAGTCCAGTCCAGTCCAGCCCAGCCCAGTCCAGCTTAGTCCAGCCTAGTCCAGTCCAGCCCAGCTCAGCCCAGCCTAGTCCAGTCCAGCCCAGCCCAGCCCAGCCCAGTCCAGCCCAGCCCAGTCCAGCCCAGTCCAGCCTAGTCCAGTCCAGCCCAGCCAGCCCAGTCCAGCCCAGCCCAGCCCAGCCCAGCCCAGACTAGTCTAGTCCAGCCCAGCCCAGCCCAGCCCAGCCCAGCCCAGCCCAGTCCAGCCAAGTCCAGTCTTGTTGTTTTAGCATAGTCCTGTTGAGACCAGTCTAGGTCAGTCCAGCTCAGCCCAACTTAGTTCAGCCTAGCCCAGCCTACCCTACCTGAGACCATACTACTGCAACCCAACTCAGACCAGCTCATACCAGCTCATACCAGCCCTGCTTAGCTGAGCTCAGCCCAGTCTAGCCTGGTCTGATTCAGATCAGCCAAGCCTACTCTAGTTTAAACTTGCTTAGTGTACTCCAAGCTAGACCAGCCCAAACTAGTCCAGTCCAGCTCAACATAGTCCACCCAACCCAGCTCAGACCAGTCCAGTCCAACCCAGCCTAACCAAGTCTCTTGTAATTTAACCCAGCCCAGCCCAGCCTGTCCTAGATCAGCTTAGTTTTAGCCCTGCTCAGTCCTTTTAAGCCCAGCTCAAATCAACCTAGACCACCTCAGCTCAGCTCAGCTCAGCCCAGTCCAGGCCAGCCCAGTCCAGCCCAGGCCAACTCAGTCTAGCCCAGTTAAGCCCAGCCTAGTCCAGCCCAGCCCAGG